GATCCCTGCTTGCGCGAGGGCTGGCGTGCCACGTGAGCAAAAGTGGCATTTTTGTATCTATTTTCCGTCTTTGCTGGTGAAAATATAGCGGCAACCGTTGAGATGCTATCTGAGGAGGTGCCAATCTTTATAATGATAAAAAGTTAAATCTCCGACTATAAGCTCAACGATGTGAATAAAAGGTCTTGATATAATACGCGGCAAATAAATATATCTTCATATTGGCCTTGTCACACAAAAAAAAAAAATAATCATCAAACACTCTTGTGAAGTGATGGCGAATATCTTGTGATTGGTTCTTGAATGCTGACTCGGATTGGCGGCTATCTTATGGCATTTTCATTGTAACGTAGCAATGCACTTGTTCAAATTTGATCCCATAATCAACCTGGACAAATAATAAGGGTTTGAATATGAGTTATGTTTACCACCAACATGTATAAGTACAACCAACCAATCTGACCCTTATGATGCCCTTTTATTTATATGCTTGCTTAGCGCGTCACCAATCTCTTTACTAGGAATCCTGCTACCACAAGAGGGCCAGGCAGCGTGGCCACATCGCCCGTTTTTCTCGGCCATTGGATCGACCGGGCGGACGGCCCAGATCGTGCGAGCCCCGGTCTTTTTACAAAAAACCTCAAACTTTAGTTGAATCAACCCACAATCTAGGCCTCCTCTCGGTTTTTTTTTGCAAATAAGCCCTCAAACTTTACCGAAATCAACCCGCAGTCCAGGCCTTTTAAATGGGCCGGCCTACCTCTCGCTCGGGCTTTTATATCGTCGGACCTGGGCCTTACTAGGCCGAATTCGGCCCGACGATGTTTTTCTATTTTCCTGCGAATTTATTATTTATCTAAAACGGTTGAAATTTTATAAAGAACATAATATGGATCTAGATTTCTCTAAAGTTTTCTATAAATAATTAATAGAGTTAGTTTCTTTATTCAAATTGCTATAAAATTTTTACGATAGCTTACCCATACCACGCATAAAATAAAACGATTGAGTGATTTTACCGGTTTTATGATCCATATATGTGTGTGCATTTTACTGTTACGCGTAACTAACGTATTGAAGAAGTGCTGAGAGCCAGACATCACAATAATACCATATCTCAAAGTAGTTTTTTATCATTATGCCATGATATATTAGAATTATTTTCGCAATAAACGTAGGGGCCTGATTATGTCTTTGATTGAGACAGACATGACAAAGTGGAGTTAATCAATTTCTAATTACTATGCTTTAAATGAAACTCACGCCTTTCCACGTTTTCAGATTGTGCTAAACACTTCAAAGGGGTCAAGAGTCACGCATCTGGTGAACAAACAGTAAAAAAGTTTCAGAGCTGCTTGTAGAAGAACTAAAACAGAGAGAAGAGGAGGCAACACAAGCCCAACAAAGAGGCTGATGTTAAGTTGCTCGAGACCCAAAAATTAGCTTCACAGTATCAGAACGAGGCTGACAAAAGCAGCTCAGGCAACACCTGTGAAGAAGCTAGAGAGAAGTCATGTCGGGTTTATAAACTCGGGGTTCCTAATAGACCTGCTTCTCAGCACAAGCTCGGCCCAGCAAACGACGTTGCGAACGACGTGCAACTCCTGGGCCGGCCCAAATACCTAACGACAGGCCAGAAGGGCGATCCAGTCTCCGACCGGAAGGCCTGGCTAAGGAGGAACGACGCTCGCTTACGACTCCGACCCGCCTCTCCGACCGGAAGGCTTAGCTAAGGAGGAACGGCGCTCGCTTCCGACTCCGGCCCGCCTCTCCGACTGGGAGTACACCGAACCTCTGCTTACATCTCTTTTCCGACCGGCGCGGTCGGAGCCGACTAGGAAACAACCGAATGAGGACGCTCGCTCGGTAAGGACCCAAAGAATCAGGCGGAGCAAGTAAGACAGGGCGCTGAAGTCAAACCGTAATACCGAGGACCGTACCCTACACGTCTGCAGAACAGTACCGTCAGATCATGTCAGAAGGGTGCTCTGCAATCTTCCAGATATGTCAGAACACGAACAGTGTTATGGACGTCGACATTTGTCCTACAGTATGGTAGGCGCCAACATTTACCATATCAAAGAAGAACACGGTGGAACTAACCACATGCATCCGGACATCAGCAGTGTTGTGGACGCCGACAAACCACCTTGTACCCGATGGCGTGGGCAACAAGACTAGATAGCACACACACTCTCTTTCTCTCTCACACACTCTCTCGTGTAAAGCCGTCACCTTCATCTATAAAAGGGGATGCGCTTTCTCCAAAAGAAAGAGAATTCAGATAATTGATTCCGATTATCTCTGCGTGGCTCTAGAACTCTAAAGCTAGACAGAGCGCACGTTAGAACACTTCGCGCACGTAGGAGCTTCCGTTACTCTCGGCCCTTCGGTCCAGAGTCCGACCGGACCTCTGATACCCCCATCTTACTCTCACTTGTTTGTAACCCCACAGCAAACTTCGAGCACCTAGACTCATGAATAAAATCACTGACGAACTCAAACTGGACGTATGACACATTGCCTGAACCAGTATAAACCTTATGTCATTGAGCGCTAGGTCACATCCGATCACAGCGTACGATAAAACAACAAATATTTACTAGTTGGTCACTTTTCGCACCGACAAGTCAGCTGTAGCATTGGTCCAACAGAAGAAACTGACTTCTTTATGGGAACAAAGGGCTCGGATCAGTATCTCAATGCAACTCCTAGTATTCTTACCTCAGTTTTTTTAACTGGGCTAAAGATTTCGGTGGAAACATCATCAGAGACTATATCTACTCACCATGGCGCAGATTTAAGTGGATACATCAGCTCGAGAGAACTCTAGGTCACTATGGCTCACAGTCTCACACCAAATTCTACACTAGCACAAATCTGGTGTAGGCGTGGCAAAGCCACGCCCATGTTTCTAGCACTAATGGAATAATGAACACAAATATCTTGATATCCATCGTGTTTTTCTTTTATTCGGTGTGCATCATATTTATACACAATTGTACAGGAAAGCTGCACAAATAAAAAATAATAAAATACGAAAGCCTCACACTTTTGAACAAAAGAAAATGCCCCAACGTGCAAGTGCCAATATTATTTCCTCTTCGTTTTTGGTATGTCTCCACACCGGTGGGTGGTTGGGGAGGTGTAATATTTCGTCAGTCCCCAAATACAAGGTACGCACGTATTTTAAAATTCGAAGTTTGTTATCTTTGACTAATAATGAGCTTAATTATATCAAAAATTTGTGTTACAAAAGTAGTTACATTAGATTTGTATTTAAAAATACTTTTTAATGATCTAACTTTTGTTCATATAAGTTATACTCCCTCTGTCCCAAATTATTTCTCATTTTTGTTTTCGTGCCGCAAGTTTGACTCGATTCGTAGAAAATACGTGTAATATTTGTATCTCCAAATAAATTTATTAAAACACTAGATTCAAAGATCTTTCCAATGATATTAATTATATACCATAAATATTAATATTTTTTAATATATATTTTGTAAAAGTTGTTTCCCAAGAAACGAAAACGACAGATATTTTGGGACGAATGAAGTATATTATAAGAGAAACTATATGTCAAAATATGTTTAGAAGACCTCACCAAGTTAATCGCGCCTTTTACTTGGGGACGGAGTAAGTACGTGGTGTTATGTGTGCCGATAAAACTGGAATTGAACAGTCCAATCTGATATTCTGGGTGCAAATCTACATCGCAGGTTGCACAACAAAATAAATAAAGTTGATGACAACTGTAGATTAATCATCATTTATTGAATTACACAAGTCTTTCACCTAAGAAGTAACAAGCATGCGACTGGCCAGTGGCCCCTACCAATTCTAACACACCTAGATCTGGAAAAGCTAACATTGTGTTGGTGTTTTCGGACCACTGACGAGTAAATTTGTATTTGCGTATCTGACTCGGATGGTGTGCTTAGAGGACACGAGGTTTATACTGGTTCAGGCAGAAAGTCCCTACGTCTAGTTTGTCGCTGCTGCTCATGTTATTGGCACTAAAAGTTTATAGTAAGGATTACAAACATGCAAGAGAGGGAAATGATTCCAAGTCTCTAGTGAAAGAAGTGAACGGGTGTTGAGAGCTCGATCGATGTTCAGCCGTGTGCTCGTGTCGTGCTCTTGTGCGGATCTGGCCTCTTCCCGTGGGGCGCACTGCTTTCCCTTTTATAGGCCAAGGGAAAACGCGGGTTACAACGGAGGAAAATGAGAAGAACGAAGAGAGGAAGGCTTTTAGGATCGCCGGGTCCTTCTCCTTCGTGCGGGTCCCGCCGATCCGATAGATGTCAATAGGGATGGCTCCACGTCGCGGCCCTGTCCGTCACTGGCGCCATACGCAGACGTCATCTACCGGTCATGGCATTCCATCCCGTCCCGACGGACGTCGTGGTGAACTGACACGCCTGTCAGTGTTCGTATGAGGGTTAGGCAGAACATCACAGGTACGCCCGACGCCGTTCTTATGTGAATCCTCATGTATGGCCCGTCATGGCCTCGGGTTACATCGAGCCGTGCTCGTCTCTTCTCTGATGTCAGAGTTTTAACCCAGACCCATACGCTGGACCTGGAGTGGTTGGCGACGATATGGGTCCCCGTCGGATGAGACGGAGCCCGCGGCCTTGGGTGAGACCAGGGCAGCCTCGGGGTCGGGCGAGACGGAAACTGCGTTCTTAGGGTCGGGCGAGACGGAGCCCGTACCCAACGGGTCAGGCGAGACATGTTAACACGTCTTGCTCTGTCTGAAAAAGTCAGTGTGGACACTAACTTTCTAGCTTTGGGTATCCCTAATATGGATCCCGTACCCAACGGGTCAGGCGAGACATGTTAACACGTCTTGCTCTGTCTGAAAAAGTCAGTGTGGACACTAACTTTCTAGCTTTGGATATCCCTAATATGGATCCCGACACGTTGCTTCCTAAACCAACGGCACTACAAGGATGGATCAAGAACCAGAAATCACACGTACGACTAAGTTCAAATTAAACCACCACGGACAGGGTGATGGCAACCAAGACCACAAGGCCTGCTGCAACGGACGACACGACGCCAAGCACGCGCCTAGACGCACCGGCACCGCTGCCCTGTGGCAGCGGGCTCGGGCTCGGCGTGGGAGCAGTGGAAGCGGAACCGGCACCGGAGCCGACCGACGGCACGGCGGGTGAGGAGACCGGGCTGGGCCTGGGCGCGCCGCCTCTGCCACTGACGGTCGGCGGCATCCCCGGCGCCGCCGCGGGGGCGCCGTACAGCTCGGAGGGGGCCCTGACCCGCACGATCATCCGCTGCCCAGCCTCGCAGTGGCCTGCGACGCCGCTGACGAAGTAGAGGGGGCCGTAGCGGTCGAGCTTGAACTTGGTGTCGCCGCTCGAGAACCGGCTCAGCGGCGTCTCCGTGCTGCACTGCTTGTAGTCGTCGTGGGACACCAGCAGCACCGAGTCAGCGGCGTATTTGAAACCTGCATGCACCAGACCACGTACGCCAACGCGCGGCGGCGACGCGACGACGACATCGATCAAACACGCGCATCATATCGGAAAAGTAGAGAGAGGCTACAGGCACGGTACAAGAATAAATGAATAAATAACCAAGCGTGCGCTTATTACTCAGGACGTCGCCGACTTGGATGCGGTTCTTCTTGGCCCAGTGGTTGTACGTCTCGGTGCCATTCGCCGGCACCGTCCACCCACGCTCGTCGCCGACTTTGAACACCGCCGGCGGCAGCGACGACACCGACGCCACGAGGAGGGCGAAGGAGAACGCGAACACGGCGAAGTGGAGGGTGGCCGCCATTGGCATGCAGCGGATCGATGGAGCCCTACGCGATCGGATCACAGCGTGGCCGAGTGGTTGCAGCGCGCAGCTCTAGAGAAAGTGGAGACCTGATCGAAATGGTGCTTCGGCGTGTGAGCACTGACCCGTGCGTGGGGCAGGGTGTTTATATAGACCAAGATAGACGGATCGGAAGGGAGCGGCACCGGCGAAAGAGGAGGGTGGAGTGCGTGCGTGCGTGCGTGCGAAATGCTCGGGGTTGTTGGAGTCGTGGAGAGAAGAGACGTTGCTTCGATCTCCTGGAGCCGTTGATTGGAGCTTCCCGGCTCCCGTTTGGACGGCCCGAGATTGCCGTTTGACTTGGTAAGAGCCGCGGCGGAGAGATTCGTGCGTGGCAGTTCAGGTTTCAGCCTCGATTTTTAGTTACCGCCGGGCTCAGAAAGTGACTCAGAAGTTAAGACCAGTCGACCAGTCCTTTTTTTTTTTTTTTTTTTGAGGATCGTCAACCAGTCAATTGTGCGAGCAAACCGCACGCATTGCATAGTTGGGCTCAACTTTCTTTTGGGCCGCTTTTACAAGGAAGTTTGGGCTGTTTTCCTTAGTGATCTGCTTCCTCTTATTCTTCACTGACGAAAAAAGTACAGTGATGCTTCGCGATGAAGGCGGGATCTGAGTAATTCATAATCTCCGCGAGAACACGGGTTTTCAGTAAACCGAAAGGTTATTTCGGTCAAGTCGCCTCTCTCAGTCGGGACCCAAAAAACCCTATACGAACCCAGAGGCTGCCCCGGCGGGCGGCGGCGGCGGTGCGTTGAGATGGCTGACGACGCGGAGACCGAGAAAGCGACGGTAGCAGCGGAAGACGTGGGCAAACCTCCAGAGCTCTCGAAGAGCGCGAGGAAGAAGCTGCAGAAGCAGGAGCGGCAGGCGGAACGTAAGGCAGCCCGGAAGGCGGCGGAGAAGGAGCGCCGGCGCGCCGACGTGGAGCGGCGGAGGCGTGAGTGGGAGGACGCTCTCGCCGCCGCGCCGTCGGATGAGGCCCGGGCCGAGATGGTGGCGGCGCGGCGGGAGACGCGGCGCGAGCGGGTGGGCCGGCGGGCGGAGGAGCGCGGGGCGCGAGCTGACCGGCTCAGGCGCGCGGCCGAGGGCGCGGGCCAGAAGGTGGTGCTGGACCTCGAGTTCGCGGACCTTATGCGGCCCAACGAGATTCATAGCCTCACGCAGCAGGTGAAAATTGCCCTTCTCTTGTTAGTATGTTCTGAAGTCTGAACTCAATGAACGTTCTATGGCAATCAGTAGTCTGTATGATTCTCGAGGGAGCCTATAACTGAGTAGTTTATGTGAAGCGACTGACCGATCTTGATATATGGAATTATGGACTACGTATCTACTAAATGTGTTTGAAAGATCTCATATTTTGGTAAACTAAGTAACCAAGACTCAATGAAAATCGTTATATTGAAATGTTTGTGCAAAGGCTGTAAAGTGTAAACTGACTACAAAGTGCAGACTTGCTAGAGAACTGCACCATTGGTTAATGTCATTTGTACTAATTAGTGAGTTTGTGGCCATATCCAATGCCATTCTTAGAGGCCCTGTGCCCATATTTTTCTCTTGAGTTTTTTACAGCAAGTTTGTGAGAAGGGCACTGGTACCTATGTCTGCTTACATATCGTTGTAAAATATCTCTGTCAAGCTCCCATGCTCCATATCTTCTGCAAGCACAAAATTTAATATTACCTTGAGAAAATATTTTACACATTAACTGATGCGTGTTACAGATTATGTACTGCTATGCAGTGAATGGGAGATCTGCAAACCCAGCTCACCTGTGGTTGACAGGTTGCAGTGGAGAAATGGCGACCCATCTTCAGAGAATTCCTGGGTATGATAAGTGGATCATTGAAAAGGCGGCCAGGCCTTATATTGAAGCATTTGAAGATCGTAAAGAAAACCTTGTGTATCTTACAGCAGATGCTGAGACAGTGCTTGATGATCTAGACATGTCGAAAATATACATCATTGGTGGCCTGGTGGATCGAAATAGATGGAAGGGCATAACGCTGAAAAAGTCAGCTGAGCATGGAATTCAATCTGCAAAGCTTCCTATTGGAAACTACCTAAAAATGTCAAGTTCTCAGGTGAGTGTATATCTGTTTCTACCTTTCACACGGAAAAAAGTATATTAACTTGACTTTCAATAACCTTGTGTCTGAAAGCATTGTCTTCTGTTTCAAATTTGTCTCTGTACCCATTATATGCCTTTGAAATGTTCCTATATGTCCATAGATTGTGGTGGTGTCTTCTGTACTTTACAGAGTCCTTTGTTATGAGGCATTGTCTTACAACACATTTCAAAAAAAAGAGGAGGAAAAGTTACCATGGCTGTGTCTTTTGCTGAAATTCTGAGTATTCAGACTTGAATGCACACTGGACAACTGAGAGCAATGTATTTATATTTGTGCTTGTTATAAGGGAGTGCCACAAGTTGTCAGATTAGTTCCATTGAACTGTCTGAATATCTAGTTATCTCAATTGTTACTTTTATTCATGAAAAAGTTGTTGGCATCAGAATATCTGATCTCTCTTGAGTAGTTTGTACTAAGATAAGACTATTGATCTCTTGTGTATCAATAATCATGCAGGTTCTTACAGTTAACCAAGTGTTTGAGATAATGTTAAAGTTTGTGGAAACAAGGGACTGGAAGACGGCATTTTTCCATGTGATTCCACAAAGGAAGCGAGGAGAAGCTGAAACTGGAGATGATGGGGACAATGGAAGCTTGGATGATAATGATGGTGCCCCCGAAGGCGCTGCAGATGGAGACCTTTCCGAGGAAGACCTGAACAAGGGTTTCGACGAGGAGGTGGACGATGATGGGGATGAAGAGCTGGAAGAGGAAGAAACGGATGTCTCCAACAAGAGGCAGTGTGTTAGATGCGAAAACAGGGAAGCTGGGGATCACTCCTCTGGCGCCGTAGCAGAGGCGACATCAGACGGGGACGCCACGCTCCAGGCTGAGCAAGCCAAGAAATCAAACAACGTTGGCGGGGACTGATGAACAGTGAGCACTACGTTTGTCACTATTTTCAGAACAGCATTGGTTTTAGATTTTTGAGGCTTCTCTCTGGTATTCCGTGTATTTTAAATAATTTCTGTTGTACTCGGAACTGAACATCTCAGTTAAAGCAGGCCAAGGAATCAAACAACGGTGGCGGGGACTGATGAACAATGAACCCCACGTTTGCCACTGGTTTGCGTAACAGCATTGGTTTTGGATTTTTTTTTGTGCGTTTTCTCTGGTATTCATGTATTTTAAATTATTTCTGTTTTGTACTTCGAGCTGGCCATCTAGTTAGTACAGTGCGTCCATCTTGTGACTGGTGGTGTCATTCATGTTTTCAGAAGAATGCGTAGATCCTTGCAGTTGTAGTATCGGAAACCGGCTGAATGCGCTTTGTTGTCTCAAAAAATATAGAATGAATTGGTTGTCTCAAAAAAGGTACTAGAATGTAACGGACTCTGAGATTTGACAATCGAACGTACGAGCCCACGATGGAGCCAAGCTCTTCGTACTGTGTATAGTAACAATTGGCATGGCGTAGGGTGCAGCCGCTGCCGCTGTATGCATGGCTACAGGCAGATATTTCGTCACGCACGCAGACGCAACGCAGGCTGTACGTGCAGCCGTGCCGCAACAAAAATAGACCTGACCTCACGCGGTCGTGCGTACAGTAGAGAGAGATGGGCATAGGGAGGGAGCTACATGCAGACTTGCAGAGAGAGAGAGAGAGAGAGAGAGAGCTCACAAATCAAGGCGAGCTGCGGTATTCAGTTCCCGAAGCGGCAGCGAGCAGGGCATGCACTGGAGCAGGGGAAACGGAACGAAGACCTGCCGATCGATACATACATGCATGCATGCAGGATGCACAGCAGGTCAGCAGCAGCCAGAATACATTAAAGTAGCGAGGCTCCACGTAGGAATCAGATCTAAAGAAGATGGTGTATTGTTGGACAAGAGAACATGGACATGCATGGCCTGCAGAATTAGAGCGGAAGCTGCGCGATTGCCGGCACTTGTCGCGGGCGCCTCGCTGCAGCCGTGCACGCGACTGCAACGCCTGGCGCGCAACGGCTCAAGCCAACCGGCTGGCCGTGGAACTTGGACACACGCCCACGCCCGCAAGGGTGTCACAACGACCCATGGCGTTTTCACGTAGTCCAGAGAGTCTAGAACATGCGCCGCCGGCCGTCGCGTTTCCTCACCTACACTACACAGGCTATTGGCTGTAGTAGCAGCGACAGCGAAGGCAACCATGCATCACACTCGAACGACGCATATACGGCTGTCGTACCTCCGTACGTATAGTATGTACGTGGCGTAGTACAACAAACAATCCGCTAGCTCCAGACTATTGTACGTACTGTACGTTCCATTAAACCATAATCAACAATAGAGTTGCGTGATCGAATAGCTAGGAGCAGAAGAAACACGAACAGTCAATCTGAAAGCATGCAGGAAATAATTTCAGCGATGGTTACCCGAACACAATACTACATACTGGCAAGCATTGAACAATACTACCACTAAGAAACTAGAGACTGATATTTTAAGGAAAATAAGCTGCTAGCCAGGGACAGAACTTAAATAGCAGTGCACACTAGGACCTGCATGCGCCCGATACATGCATGTGTACGTGCAGATCAGCAGATCGATGACTTGTTGCTGAACGAACTCTACTTGTACGCGAACGGGTGCGGGTGCTCGAAGCCGGCGCTGCCCTGCGGTGTGTGCGACGCGCTCCCGCCGTCTCTGCCACTGCCGTCGCCGCTCCCGCCGTTGCCGGGCGCGTACGCGGCGGCCCCTCCGTAGTACGCGGCCATGGCGTGCTCGCCGCCGTACGTGGGCTCGTAGGGGTAAGGCAGGTAGTGGCTGCCGCCCTGTGGGTGTGGCATGAGGAACCCGCCGTGGTGCGGAGGCCCCGGCGGCGGGGGCACGGTGCCCCCGTACATGGCGGCGTGCATCTGCATGTCGTGGTCGTGGTGGTGGTGCGGTAACATGGCGGCTCCGGAGCCGGGCCCGCGGGACTTGAGGGGGTGGTGGTGGTGGTGGTGGTCGCCGCCGCCGCGCGGAGGGCCACCCGGGGCGAGCCCGACGCCCCGCGCCTCGCCCTCGAACTCGCGGTAGCGGTGGAGGTAGACGCTGAGCGGCTCGACGTAGTCGTCGAAGCCGAGGCGGCTCATGGCCCACAGCACGTCCTCGGCGGTGATGGTCTTGCGCTGCTCCCGCTGGCACCGCTCGTTGGCCTCCCCCGTGATGAAGCTGATGTACTCGGACACGCACTCCTGGATCGTCTCCTTGGCGTCGTCCGAGATCTTGGCGTGCGCCGGCAGCACGCGACGCATGATGCGGATCACGTTCGCGATCGGCATCAGCCGGTCCTGCTCGCGGATCGGCGGCGGAGCCTGCTGAGCGACGACGCCATTGTTGGCGCCGCCCGACGAGCCATTCTCCGCGCCGCCGGCAGGGAGGAAGCTGGAGTCCATTGGCTCTCGCTCTCGCTACCTGAGAAGCTAGCTAGGGTTATTGCTCGTGTGGAGAATGGAGCGGTGGCTACTGGCTAGTGTGTGCCGTTCTTGTGATGTGTGAGGATACGTTAAATAGGAGGCTACCATGTGTTGACCAGGGTAGCAAGCGCAGGCTAATACTCTAGCTACCGTCTACCGAGGCACGGCGAGGGTCGATGGTCGATGGCATGCATGCATGCACACCAGCGCTCGCCTGTCGATGACAAGTGGCGGGGGATTCTGTGAAGCACTGCTCCGTCGTCGTCTGCGTGCGTGGCCGAGTTGTCACACGCGAAAGATGGAACGTGAAAATGGATGAATCGGGTACTACTGTTGTTGTTGTATCATCGTACGCCATTGTGTCACGGTGTCAGAGATATACTGTATGTACGTGCTTGGTTCAACCTACTCCTACGTCGTAGTGGTACGCGCGGAGTACATTGCAAACGTGCGTGCCTAAATTTTCGCTTTTGACGACGTACGTTGATGCCGGATATTATGGGCTCGACAGTATTTCAAAGAAAGTTACTTTTTTGCATCACTTCAAAAAAAAATCGATCTTTTGAAAATGGGACGTGTCCGTGTGTATATTCATGGGGATATATAGGGTACGCATGCATGATGCATGGAATCGTCGCTGGCCATTGAAAAGGCCAGTTACCAGCCAAGCAATTGTGCTGTTTCCCAACGCATACTTTTCAATACTTCTGGCTTCCTGCTCCAAAAAAGATGTAAATAATCTAGACCATTACCTTGGGATACTTGATATGTGTATGCAGTAAATCTTCAGAGCGTGGACGCTGGCGTGGCAGACATGCTTCCCAGCAATAGCAACAAGCAGCATGCATGCGTGTGCACTCAGAGCAAGCCACCATGGTTAATAAGAATACCAATGACCAGCCTGTTAGCGGGCTGCATATCACAATACCAATGCCATATCACTTGCATAAAAAGGACTCCAAGTCCAAAGTCCAAACACATGCTAATATGAACACAGTACACAGTTCTCATGAGGATCGTGCTGGCCTGCTTGTTCTACGCATTCCAGCGTTGATAATAATAACTATCTATACTGAATTTAGAGGAGCCGTTGAGAAGCTTGCGTTGCATCTAGCACATTTATGACCCTTCACTTGCTGAAATCCTTCAGGTCTAACTTCATATCTGGACGGGGCTGTACGCTGACAGACACATATAGTTGCAATGCTCTCAGTCTAAGCACGCTTCTCTCTTTTCTGAACTGACGGGGCATGACTGGGCTGTTTGGCACATCAAAAGAAGAAGAAAAAAAGTCTCCTTGCATCTCTAGCCATCACAGGATTATGCTTGCATGCATGTACTTAATAAAAAAACATAATGAAAGTCTGAAAGGCACACCAATAGTGCCCTTTGGCGTTTGTTATGCAACTCTGCAAGCATGAACAGGTTTTGTACAGAGCTGTACTATCATGATATGGCACTAGTCTCAGATTTTCATCTTACATTTGATACATATTTGAAGACCCGTGCCACAGAAACTTTGCAGACATCAACTAATTGTACTCAAACTAAATCTAGAAGTGACTGCTGCCCTGTCATGCTACTAGCCACTTATTTTGATTACTCAGAGGGTATGGTTTGCTGCTGAACTTTTCAGTGGAGAGCCTCTCAGGCCAGTAAAGTACGCTTTAGATGCTGGCCCAACAACGCTAGTTACATTACCACCATCAGCAGAGGGATTCATGTATGTCGATGCTGCCAGATAAAATTTCAGCAGGGCCCAGAGCTCTAATTGACTGAGATTGTCACTGGATTGCTGAACACGGACTGCTGAAACCATTCACAATGATTCAACGGCACCCATGTACTAATAAGAACCAATGTTTGCTTGCTTCTTGATTGCCGTCATGCTTGGTACTGCACTGTATGCCTCTGATCAGTTTAGCTTCTTCTGAACTTGACTAAAAGGGCTGAAGCTCTTTTGGTGATCTCACGGGCCAACTAGCTGCAAGATCATTTTCAAGAAAGAATTTGCCTTGGTTATCCACAGGGCCAAGAAAAATTGACCCATTTCCCTTTGATTGATTCATGGATAGAAGCTTTGCTTTAATCTTGCTTGCTTTCTTTATCACCCTTTTTGTTTCTTAGCTTCTTAACTGTACTTGTTTTGTTTTAACAATTCCAGTAGGGAAGCTCCTCCTCCTGTTTGCCTAAAAAAATGGCAAAGTCTATTTTCAGCTAGCTTGACTCGCATCTGTATTAGAATGAACGTGTGGTGACTAGTGAGTAGAGCTCATCTAAATGCTCCTATTCTAATCTTCACAAGATGATTCTTGTGTGCTCTCTGACACATACGAAATACATGTTACTGCACCCTGTATTCAGCTGCCTTGCAGCCGATCTGATGATCAACAGCAAGACTAAATCGCTACACCACACGGCCTCTTGTTGTCAATGGCTGCATCACCACATGATTCTCTTTGCAAATCCCTGTTAGTAACGAATTGATGGCTACCTTATGTCTAAATTCTTGTGCAATGCTCTTTGCTAACTGCTGCTCTGAACTGACAGAGATCCACACCAATTGTTTGGAGTGTGGCTCTCTTCTGAAATTTCGATGCGGACTCAATATTTCAAGCCAACTTGCAACTTTTTCAGCACAGCACATGCTAACTACGTAACTGCACTACCTTTTTTCTGAGATCTTATGGGCTCACCTCACAGGAATCCACGAATCCATTCGACTGGACTTCACAAGTCCACGCCAATAATTCATACAAGTGCAACTAGCAGGGATGCTCTGAACTGCATGTTTCTGCACTTGGACATGGCAAAATATGTGGCGGAAACCACACAAGTAGAAACATAAAAATCAATCTAAAAATTATATTTTGGTTATTCAAAAAATTTTGAAATTTGGTATATTCGTAGTACATACAAATTTATACTCACATGCAAAAGTTGGGATACAAACTTGTTGAGAAAAAAATCATACAAAAATGACAAATTTCAGCTGCATGTGTGCTAAAAAGGATTTTGTCTTATAGTGCACATGTCATTTTTGTCTGAATTTTTATATTTTGTAAGCACTGTGGATATATCAAATTAAAAAAAAACAACGACCAAAATACTGTTTTAAATTATCTTTAATGTTTCCATTTAGAATGTGGTTCCTACAACATATTGTCCTCTTGGACTCAACAACTATAGTAGCTAGAAAGAAGAAATTTAGGGTTTATTTGGCAGGACTCTGCCTCCTCCAAAAACAACTTCAACTCTGGCTCCTCTAAAGAAGTCAAAATCCTTCTAAAAAACGTTTGACAAAACGGCTCCTTCTATTTTTTTAGAATTGTTGAAAGATATCAAATGTACATATTGTCCTTATACATGAGAAATTAAAATACAGCTAATTATTTATAAAAAAATACAGCTAATTGCCAATCTTACATTGATTATAAGAAACTTCCAGAAAATTTTCAAAAAATAGCTCAGTCAAAAGAAAGGTTCCCCAAACCCCTCCAAAGAAAAGGATCGGAATGGTTGAGTGTCGGCCCCTCAATTTGAGAGTGCTCAGTGCATCCGTATTTATGCTAGGATCACGCACAAATACGCACTAATCACAGGGATGGTACACATATATAATAAAAGGTTCGAGCTTTATTGATATCTAGAAATAGGGTCTTACAACAGTAGTCCAAAGGGGCATGGTCATAGACTACATATCTAGCGGAAGGCTACGGTCGTGAAACGACATTATTGGTGGTTTCTAAAGCGGAATTATTATATAGCGAAGCGGCATCCTATTCCATAGGCAACTTGAGCATGGGCGAAACCCTAGCCTCAATGTCACATTCCTATGATCGTATCTCCTTACGGGAAATCTAATCATCGTGGTACGCTTCATCTTTGAAGTCATAGTCTTCTTCTATGCCGAGGTCTGTGAGTCAACAACGGATGAGTACATACGTACTCAGCAAGCCCTAACCATAGGGTGGAAATAGAAGTGTAGTGGTGATTATAATTAATGGTTGAGTCCTAGTGGAGTATTACCATTCCCACTAGTGCCCGGGTTAACCTCGATTCTATTACCAGTTTTATTACACATAAAAGTAAAACTAATCATAGTATCCTATCCTAGCATTTGCCCATTTCAAGAACGTGGCTATTCGAATAGATTCAATAAACTCTGCAAAGATGTACAAATTTTCCCACACGATAGGTGCAAGCTCATCCATGATCAGTGGATGAAATAGACCTAACGAGACCTCGTACCCGAATGTATGCGATCTTAGATGTCCATATAACTCTACTATGGCTTCTCAGGGGTTGGAACACAAAACCGGGAAGATACCAAATCTCTCCAAACGTGATGATACCAAATCACCACAAAAGATAAACATAGCTCGAACACGCCCAAGAAAGCAGTGGCTCGAACGTGGCCTAAAAACCAAAAGCTTAACGTAGAAGATCACATAGCATCCACGCCAACCAGACACAGAAGAAAACCTATCCCCCGTATCGGCTCCTGACAAATCCGCTGCCTACACCGGCCTCCTAGTAGATATTTGTCGACGAAATATGGTCGGCAGTCTACCTAGGGGTATGCCCAAGATAGTAGATTGTCGGCAGACAGATGCGCAAGTCACAAACAAGATGGTGACGTAAGACAGACACGAGGTTTTATCCAGGTTCGGCCGCCCAGAAGGCGTAATACCTACGTCCTGCGTCTGATTGTATTGTTGTATGTTAATGAGAGATGTTTTTAGAGGATCCCCGCCTTCGCCTTTATATAGTCCGGGGACGAGGTTACTGATCTGAAACTAATCCTATCCGATTACAATTGCCATATGTGGTGGATAAGGATTCCTATTCTAACCGACCAGGATCTTGCTTGATCGCCAAATCTGTCTCGACTCCTTGCGCGGAACTCCGAACAGGCTGGCCAGGCCGCGCGTCGTCTTTTAGCGGATCGGACCCTCTAATCTGGGCCGGCCCAAGCC